AGAAGAAGAAGAAGAAGAAGAAGAAGAAGAAGAAGAAGAAGAAGAAGAAGAAGAAGAAGAAGAAGAAGAAGAAGAAATGGGGGTAGGGATGTAGCTCAGAGCAGAATCCCTGGGTTCAACCTGTAGGACTGAAACAAACAACAAAAAAGTAATCTTAGAGACAGTATTTCGTACATTGTCAAGTGTGGCCTCTCACCCACAGGCTCAAGTGACTCTTCTGCCTCAGCTTCCTCAATAGCTAGGACTGCAGATGGGTGCCACCATGCCTGGCCAAAAGCAAATTTAGTAGGAGCACAAAGCAAAGAGCTGCACACTCCAAAGAGCTTCACCCTAGCACTAAGAGGACGATATCACTAGCCCGCAGCTCCTCCTTACAGAGGGGAGGACATCTTGTGGACCAGAGGCATCATCAATGATCTTTGCTAAGAGCATAGGGAAGGCCGTGTCCATAGTTGGCCTCGACCTTAGGCACAAGTTTAATACGGGCTTAGTTCCCAGAATGGAGAGCAGTTTGAAGAGTGAGTGTTACAGAGTTATCTGGGGGAAAACATCATTAGAAGAGCTCTGAGAAAGGTGACACCAGGAAGGGGCCAGGTGATTTCATTGGCCCTGTGACTTAAGGCAGGTCCTGGTGTGATCATCTTCGAGCCTATTTCACTCTCACCCTGTAAGCTCCGGGATGACAGATCCGACTCCCTTCTTATACAAGCATTATTAAATTTTCCAAAGATTCTTCAAATTCATAATATCTCAAGTCGATAGCTTTTCTTCCGCCGGTCTGAGCTGCTCTTCTGCCCTGTGGACAGTACCCTGATACCCCACCTTCCCTGCATGGTCCTTCTCTACTCGCCGCAGCTGCTGTCTATCATGGGGAGCCACCCAGCATCCTTGGGACTTTCCTGGGTTCCAGACTGATCTTTTTTTTAAAAAAAAATTATTTATTTATTTATGTGTGTGTGTGTGTGTGTGTGTGTGTGTGTGTGGCCAGCTCAGCCCACCAGGGGGCAGGGCTGGCTGGCATGTGGTGCTGGGGGATTGAGCTGCGGTCCCTGTGCTTTGCTAAGCTTATTCTAAGTAGGTGCCCTAGACCACTGAGCCATCTCTCCAGCCCCTCCAGACTGATCTTGCTTAAATTAATTTTGCACACTGTCCAGCAGGTCAAGTAGAGTGGGCAGGGATATCCTGGGATCTTCCCTGGGTGCCAATCTGATCAGACACTTTCTTTGCAGAAATGAACCGCATCCCCAGCTTTTTTATTCTTGTTTTTAATTTTGAGACAGGGTCTCATCAAGTCACTAGGTTGCCCAGGCTGGGCTTGAACTTGTGACCCTCCTGCCTTAGCCACCCAGAGTGTTGGGATTAATGTCATGAGCCACCAGGACTTGACTGGAACTTATTTCCCCCAGCTATTGTTGTATAAATTGTTTACTTAAAAGTTGGTCCCTGCTAGTCACTTGATTGTCTTCTTCCTGCCTTCTGGGAAGCAGCTAGGTCAGGGCTCTCTGGCAAAAAAGCCTTTCCCACCCGGTCCCAAGTGCTGCCCAGGGTTCCTTCTGTCTCCTCGGCTTCCTTCACTCACCTTAATCATGCATATTGTGGACCTGAAAAAAGCTGCCTATGCATTTGTCTGACTTGTCCCTTGGAGGAAGACAGCTAGTACAAGAAATTCCATTTTGTTCACCTTTATATTTCTTATTAAGTAGCAGGCTTTCAAAAGCTATTTGTTAAAAAGAAATTCTGAGTGTAGCTCAGTGGTAGAGCACTTGCCTAACATGCATGGGTCCAATCCCCAGTACCACAAAAATAAACACATAAATAGTAGTATCTCCTTTCCTTATTTCCTACTACTGTCCCTTGTCCCTTGTGGTTTAAAAAAACTCACTTCCCCTCCTGTGCCCACTGTATTTTGCTTTCAAATCTCTGAATTCGCTACTGTTCTGAGGCTGAAGGACCCTCCCCTGATTGGCCATCTTTATCTGGCCTTTGCCCACCAAGGGCTGGAAACTCAGAGAGGGATGCTGCTTTGGTATCGCATATACTAAACGCCTAGCACAGTTCCTGTTTGCTTGGGGCTCTAAAATGCCTTTCATTTAAACGGAGCTGTTGGAAGAACGTGCTACCTAAACTACATTTCTCTCTACTCGGGCTCCTGGGGCAGCTGCGCTGTCCTTTCCGGGCTCCGGGAAAGCCCCAACTGGCCCCGGTGGCCCTGGGACCCCAGATCTGAACTCACCCAGTTCATCTGTGGGAGGCTCGATATCAGCCAGAACTGAAAAGGCACAAAACAGCAGGTGTGAGGCGGGCTGAGCATCGCAAAGGGGAAGGCAGGGCAGGACGGGCGAGAACGGGGGCGCCAGGGCCCGGGCCGGGCCGGGCTGCGGCGGGGTTTCACGGCCAAGCGCCCCAGATTTACAGGCGCTGCCTGGGGAGATGTTTAAAGAGTATTGGTCCTGCTGAGGTTAAGCTAAGTTTGGGAAGCCTTTATTGCCCGTGCCTTATTTTAGCTAGAATCCTCTTTGTTCCACTTAGCGGCCTGGAAAGTCTGTCTCTCCTCCTGTTCCACTGTCACTGAACAACATTCCCGCAGCCCCTTTACGCAGAACTGAGATCACAGAATTAATAACGGACGAGCGGAATAAACACCGTGACTAGGAGCAAGATCGAGCCGTTCTTTTTAAGGGACTTCCATAAAACTTGCCTGTTTCGTCTGTAGCAGGATCGTTCACCAGGTCTGCAAAGACACGAAATGGAGAATGAAAACTGTAGGTTGGACAAGTAGCTAAGAGAAGCAAGACAAGGGACGCCATCTAAAAGGAGACGCGAAGGGTTGAACTGGGTCATGTAGAAGGCTGCGGAGCATCGCAGGAAGAAGCGGGGAGGCAGTAAGAGGGAGGTGTTCACAGCGCGGCAGCCTCGGGAGGGACGAGCTCACGGTGCCCAACAAGCTTCTTCCAGTCCTCTTTTTATTATTTTATTTATTTATTTATTTATTTATTTATTTATTTATTTA